GGCACGGGAGTCGGGACCAGTGTTGTGCGAGGGAGCTTGGTTGTAAAATTCTTTTTCGCGCACGCAACTCTATAGCGTTTCTTCATTGCCGCAAGTGGCGTCGGCGACGCGGCGAGGACACGATGGTGACGCCCAAAGCGCAGCGTGCGCGGCAGCAGCGCCGACGGCGGCCCCACGCCGCATCAGCGGCGCTCTGAGTGAGTCAGGCTGCGCTGCACAGCCTGCTGAGCACGCTCCCGACGAGCGGCGCGCCACGCGGGCCCGCCGCAGACAACCGCGGGCGGCGAGCCGATGCGCGTGTCGTAGGCGTAGGCAGCACTGGCGAAGCGAGGCGGTCGGCGCCGGCCCCTGGAGACGGTTGCAGTGGCAAGCCGGACTGTCCTGAAAAGAAAGAATTTCGACGCTGACCTGCTGTCCCCCCCCCCTCCCCTCGGATCCGGCCAGAATGTACACACGTATATGTTGCTGTGCCCCCTCCTCCCCCTCCTGCCCCCGCCCCCCCCCCTCCCTCCGCGTGTGTGTGTGTGTGTGTGTGTGTGTGTGTGTGTGTGTGTGTGTGTGTGTGTGTGTGTGTGTGTGTGTGTGTGTGTGTGTGTGTGTGTGTGTGTGTGTGTGTGTGTGTGTGTGTGTGTGTGTGTGTGTGTGTGTGTGTGACTCACTCACTCACTCACCCCCCTTCCCGTGTGTGTGTGTGAGACTCACTCACTCACTCACTCACTCACCCCCCTCCCCGTGTGTGTGTGAGACTCACACCCTCCCCCTCCCCCTCCCCCTCCTAACACCTTGCTTGTGCGCCAACACCTTGTGTGTGGAGAAGTTAGTTTACCTTCCCTTCCGCTCTCGGCTTTCTTCCTTTCCGTGTTCGGGCCAGTGCTTCGCGGTGCGGTGAATTCTTGGTTTAGCGAGTTCTTCGCTAACCCAAGAAGAATTCTTGGGGTCGAGCAGCGGGTGGCAAGGTGGCGGCGAGTTTTGCGGCCGGCCGCACCGTTGGTGATGGACTCAATCTCAGCCTTCCAGTCTGAGCTAGATGCGCCTTCGTCCGCGTCGGCGTCGCCCACCCGTGCCTCGTCTCCAGGGTTGCCGCGGCGAACCGAATAGCGCGACATCCCTGAGACGTGAGAGGCAAAAAGGTGTCCCGCGATACCTCGCGAGTAGAGAAGAAAACGCGGTCTCAAGGTGTGAAGTGCAAACGCTACACAAAGCTACCGTCCTGGATGCGCCTCTCGCCACTCTCGGATCCGCCCGCGCAGCGCGTGGTTTGGGAAGAGGAAGATATGCTCGAGTGCCTCGCCCGTCATCGGACTCGTCGACTTGGTCGCGAGCCAGCGCTCGATCTGCTTCCGCTCGTAGGAATGGCCGTCCGCCGCCATCACCGGGTCGCTCATCATCTCGGTCGTGATCGGGCAGATGAAGTCGGTTGGCGGCTCCTCCTCCTCCGCCGAAAGCGGCCTCTCTGCAGCCAAGGAGGACGACCCCTGCTCGTCAGACGCCCGCCTCTTCTCCTCCAGCCTCGCGCTCTCCTCGAGCGCCGCCGCCAACTCCGCCTCCTCCTCCGCCGCCAGCGCTGCCTCATCCTCGGGCTCCCGCGACGGCCCAGCGCCACCCCCGCCTCCCTTCCCCTTCTTCTTCTTCTTCTTCCCCTTCTTGCTCTCCCTGGCGCGCCCCGCCTCCTTCTCCGCCTCCTCCTCCGCCAGCAGCGCCTCGGCATGCCGCGTCGCCTCCGCCTCTGCCGCCGCTCTCTCCGCCTCCCTCGCCGCTGCCTCCGCCGACGCCTCCGCCGCCGCATGCTCCTTGAGGGCGCGCACGCACTCGGCGTGGCCCTGCTTCTTGGCAACCTGCAGCGCCGTCCTGCCGCTCGCAGAGCACAACGCCGCGTCTGCGCCCGCCCGAAGCAGGCGGAGGACGACGGCGGGGTGGCCTTGGACGGCGGCGTACATCAGCGCGGTGCCGCCGTCGTCGCTGTTCTGCTTGTTGACCTCCGCCCCGCGCTGCAGCAGCAGCTCGACCACCCCCTCGTGGCCATGCTGGGCCGGCAAGCATCAGCGCGGTGGCGCCGCTCACATCGTCTTCCGCGCAAATCGCGTTGACCTGCCCGCCGCTGTCAAGCCACGCCAGCAGCGCCACCTCGTCGCCTTGGAGAGCCGCGTCCATCGCCTCTTCGGGAAGGCCCAGTGAGCCGGAAGAGGCCGCGGCCCTCGCTCCCGCCGCCGCCTCGCCCGAGGAAGCGCCGCCCGCACCGCCCGCCGCCGCCTCGCGCTGGCTCGCAGTCACCTCCTCGATGTGCTGCCGGAAGGCGCCGACGCAGGCGGCGTGGCCCTTCTCCTTGGCCATTTGCAGCGCGGACTTGCCGCCCTCAGAGCGCACCGCTGTATCTGCGCCCGCGCGAAGCAGGCGGAGGACGACGGCGGGGTGGCCGTGGGCGGCGAACATCAGCGCGGTCCAGCCTTCGCCGCTCTGCAAGTTGATCTCCGCGCCGCGCTGCAGCAGCAGCTCGACCACCCGCTCGTGGCCTCGGAAGGCGGCGAGCATCAGCGCGGTGACGCCTCTGCTGTTCTGCAAGTCGATCTCTGCGCCGCGCTGCAGCAGCAGCTCGACCACCCGCTCGCGGCCGTTGCCGGCGGCGACCATCAGCGCGGTGCCGCAGGTGCGGATATCACGGTACTGCAGGTTGATCTCCGCGCCGCGCTGAAGCAGTAGCTCGACCACCTGCTCGTGGCCATGGTTGGCGGCGAACATCAGCGCGGTCCAGCCGTCGCTGTTCTGCTTGTCGATCTCCGCGCCGTGCTGCAGCAGCAGCTCAACCACCCGCTCGTGACATTTAGTGGCGGCGATTATCAGCGCGGTGCCGCCGACGCTGCTCTGCAAGTTGATCTCCGCGCCACGCTGCAGCAGTACCTCGACCACCCCCTCTTGGCCCTTCTGGGCGGCACGCATCAGCGCGGTGACGCCGCTCACACCGCCTACCCTGCAAGTCGCGTTGATCCGCCCGCCGCTGTCAAGCCACGCCAGCACCGCCGCCTCGTCGCCTCGCCCAGCCGCTTTCACGAGCGCCACAGCACCAACCATCGCCATGAGAAAAAGAATTTTACGCAACACAGAGACACAGAAGAGTGTGGTGGCGGCGTGCCGTCCTCCCATCCCTCCCTTGGGTTGTCCGTTTTCTTTCTTTCTTTAAGAGAGAGAGAGAGAGAGAGAGAGAGAGAGAGAGAGAGAGAGAGAGAGAGAGAGAGAGAGAGAGTGGCGAGAGAGAAACACATCCAGGTACCAGCTAGCTGATGAGTCTCATCATCAACACCCAAACAAGGAGATCTTCCTCCGCGAGCTCATCTCCAACTGTCTCGTCCGACGCGCTCGACAAGATCCGCCACCAGGCGCGCACGCCGCAGCCGCCCACCCCGCCCCAACCCACCCCGCGGGCGGCATCCCTGTCGCCCTTCTCTCGCCTTCTCTACGCCGCCACCGGCACTGCCGCCTCGCCCTTCCCCTTTCAAGCACCAATGCGTCTCGAGCAATGCGTGCCACGCGCCGTGGAGCACCCCTTCTGCCTCCCCCGCTCCAGCGACCGCTCACGGCACGCCTGGAGCAGCAGGTTGAAGTTGTTGCGCTTGACAAAGATCGCGTCGTGGTAGAAACCGCGATGCGCCTTGACGTAGCCGTGGCCGGTCTTGTGGGAGAAGGGTTGGCCGGGCTGCCCGCGCGCCTTGCAGCCCATGTTTAGGCGGCGGGCCTTCTCTTCGGTGTTGCCAAAGGCGTAGGAGTGGCCAACGGAGGTTGGGGCAAATGTAGATTTCCCGAAATATTTTGAGAAATATGACAGCCTTGTTCGGAAGGAGAAATTTCCGGAAATTTACCATACCTGTGTTGACGCGAATGACACTGACGCCTGAATGACACTGACGCCCGATGACCCGCTTGACCGGTGACCGATGACCGCTGACCGCTGACCGATGACCAGCGTCAGCCTCTCCGCGGAGGCGCACCATCACTGCCGCGCGGGCCTGCCGGCTCAAGCAAGGCACGGCAGGCCCGCACGGTGCCTGGTCCAACATGGGGGACACCTTGTTTCCTTACACGGAAAGGGGCGAAACTTGAGCATGGAGTGACGGGGCGAAGAAATTTCTCGCAAATTTGCCGTTGTGGGGCACGAAATAAAGACGAAAGAAATGAAAGAAATATCCTTACGCTGGGCAGGGAATCTACATTTGCCCCAAAACGGAGGCGGGCGTGCCGCCACTCGAGGCGTTGCCAACGCCCGGCGAGGAGGTCTTGAGGAGGGGCGTCCAGAGCTTGATTTCATTCACGTCATCGCACCCTCCTGGTCCCGCATGGGGTTCTGCGAGGTCGACCTTGTACCCCTCGTTGTACTGCCGGGTGAGCTCTGGTTTCTCCTTGTCGCCGTGCACGACCGGCGCGTTGGCCGGGGCGCGCATCGCGTCCGCCCAGGCGGCGAGGACGCCGTCGTGGGGCCGCCGGTGGTGGGCCTTGTTGTAAAGGTAGTCGCCGAAGAAATCGACTGGCATGCCCCGCTCGAGCGCGACCCGAAGGGTGGGAAGCGCCGCGGAGAGCCAAAGGCCGAGCTTTCGCTGGTTGTTTCAGCACAGTGACAGTCAGACACGCAACACGGGGTCCCAGAGGAAAGGCGAGCAAAAAACCTTGCGCCTACTAGACGCCCTTTCCGACTCGGAGAGAGAGGAGAGAGAGAGAGAAGAGAGAGTCAGGCGATCAGGCGCGCGCAGCCGGAGAGAGCGAGGGAGGCGCTCAATCGCCGCGGCGAGCGCCTCCATCATCTCCACCTCGTTCGCTTCGCATCCTCCTCCTCGCCACGGGATGAGAGATCCACACCTGCTGAGCTGCTGAAACACGGGGAACAGAACCGAGCGTCTTGGCGCGAGAGTCAGTGGCAACAGACCCCCTTTCCGGCAAGGAGCCGGACTGTGCTGAAAAAGAATCCGCTGGTTTTTGACCTGTCCCCCCCCCTTCCCCATCCGGCCGGAATGTACATGCGCACCGCCTTCTTCTTCGCCATCCTGGCGTCCGCCGCCGGGGCCCCGAGGGACGGTCATCCTACTGGCCCGGGCCATCGCATTCACCACATCCGGAAGCAACGGGCCAACGAGCGGCGCCGCCGGCTCGAGCAGCGCGAGCACGTCGCAAAGGCGCGCGCCGGCCCTTGTTCCCCTCTCCCATCGGAGAGCCCGAGGAGCCCGGCCGCCGCGCAGCACACCAAGCTGCTTCCCACACCGGCGCCCCCGAGGCTTGACCGGCGGCGCACATCGTGTGCAGGTCCAAGACTACCTCGCGAGCCCTGAAGCCGCCGCGCAGCACACCAAGCTGCTCGACGAGGTCAAGAAGATGAATGTGTCCGAGCGTATCGCCGCGGCGCTCGTCAAGGTGACAGCTGAGGATTTCCGTCTCCCACCCCCGTGGGAACCCGACCAAACCCCAAGCCCCCGCCAGCTCTTGCCCGCTCCACCTGCAGGTCCACCCCCGTGGGAACCCGACCAAACCCCAAGCCCCCGCCAGCTCTTGCCCGCTCCACCTGCCAGGTGATCGAGGAGACGGAGAGCCACGAGGTGCACGCCGAGTTTGGCCGGCGCCTTTCCGCGGCGCCGGGAGCTCCCCCCCCGATTAGCCCCCCGACTCCGCCGCCGTCCTTTCCTCACGCATGGGATGCAGCCGAGCTCGGATACCTCGACACCCACTTTTCGGACGCCGCGGGGAGCAAGGGAGGCACCCTCCAGTACATGATCGACACCGTCTGGATCATCACCGCCGCGCTCCTCTGCTTCTTCCTCCAGGCAGGCTTCGGCCTGCTCGAGGCGGGCGCCCTCCGCGCCAAGAACGCCAAGAACATTATGCTCAAGGTCTCGGAACCCCCTCCCCTCCCCCCCTGCATCCCCCCCCCCCCTCATGCCATCACGCCCTCCCCCCCCCTCCCTCCGGCACCCTCCCTGCCACGTCCCTTCCCCCATCCCCGCAACCCTCGTTTGCTGTTCGCAGAACCTGATGGACGCCTGCATCGGCGGGCTCGTCTACTACTGCTTCGGCTACGCCATCTGCTACGGCGGGGCCTCCCGGCCCGACGGCATAGACGGCAACGCGTTCTCCGGCGGGGGGCTCTTCAAATCCACGGAGGGCCACGACGGCATCTGGTTTGGCGTCGACGTGGGGATGGACACCGGCGGCTGGTTCCGCACCACGTCAAACTACTGGATGCTCATCGACGTCGAGGAGGACGAGTACTACATCTTCCTCTTCCAATACGTCTTCGCCGCCACCATCGCGACCATCGTCTCGGGCGCGGTCGCCGAGAGGATCCAGTTCCGCGGTGCGCTCTCGCCCCCTCCCACCACCACACACGCACGAGGAGGTCGTCGTCTCTCACACCTTCAGCGACCGCGCCGCATCCCGGGACCCTAACCTCCCTACCCCCCCCCCCCTCCCACCTTAGGATACCTCATCTACTCCTTCTTCCTCACCGGCTTCATCTATCCGTTCGCCGCGCACTGGACGTGGGACCCGAACGGTGCATTTCCCAAGCCAAGTCCGAAGACAGCACGGATCAGACCCCCGCTGACACCACGTACCGGCCCCGCCGACCCCCTCAGGCTTCATCAACTCGTGGGGCATCTGCGACTACGCGGGCGGCAACGCCGTCCACGCCCTCTCCGGCTGCGCCGCCTGGATGGGTGCAAAGGCACTCGGGCCTCGGATCGGCCGATTCGTCGAGGGGACGTCTAAGTCGCTCGTGACGGTCAACTTCAAGCCGGTCGAGCTGGCGCAGCACAACGTGCCGATGATGTGCCTCGGCCTCTTCATCCTCTGGCTCGGCTTCATCCCCTTCATCGGCGGCTCCGCTTGCTACGTCAACTTCCAGCTCGGCCGCCTCTGCGTGATGACGACCCTCTCTGGCTGCTCGGGAGGGTGCGTCCCCCTCGGGGGGGGCTACATGACCGAGAAGCACGCCTCGCTGGAGCAAACCATGACCGGGGTCCTTGCCGCCATGGGGGGGGCCCTCAATAGGCCCCCCCCCCCCCTCTTCCCCCGCCCAAGCTCCCCCCCCGTCACACATACGCACGCACACACTGGGCGCCGCCTTTAACCCCCCCCCCCCCCCCCCCCTTGCCTTTAGGTTGGCATCTGCTCCTCGTGCGGCTGCACCACTATCTGGGCCGCCTTTTGGATCATCGCCCCCATCTCCGTGCTCGCCTACCGCTTCGGCCTCTGGTTCAACATCTACTTTTGCGGCAAGTTTCTCGGCGGGCCGGTGGACGACCCCCTCGGCGCCTCGCGAGTGCACTGCCGGCCAGGCGCCTCTCCCAGAGGCCCGCGACGTGCCACGACACTGCGCCGTAGGCGCCTCCGCGCTGCACTACTGGCCCGGCGTGTGGTCGATGATCGCCTGCGGGCTGCTGAGCGACCCCGACATCTGGGACGCGACCTACGGCATCGAATTCAGCGGCCGGACCACAAAAGTAGAGGACTTGACCTTGGACGACTTTTCGGGCATCTTCTACGGCGGCAACGGCATGCAGCTGGCGTATCAGCTCCTTTCGGTCGTCGTGATCACCCTGTACGGCCTCGCCTCGTGCTTCCTCCTCTTCTACGGCATGAAGCTGTGCGGCACCCTCCGCGTGCCCGAGGTTCGCGAGAGCGTCGAGACCTCGAGAGGGCCTCCACCCCACCAGCCTGAGTCAGAAGCCAGAAGCACGCGGAGTTGGTGATAGGCGGATGAGCTCGAGGGCCTCGACGCGACGCACCACGGGGGACTGGCCTACACCGACACGGACGTGCACATCGTCCCCGCGGGGCTCCGCTTTCGCAAGAAGAAGGCCGACATGGATGCGACCAAGGACGGGTCGGAGTCGCCGGAGGGCACAGAGTCGCACGAGGCGTGAGAAAGCAAGCTCATGCGTCCCGCCCCGAGCCCACCCCGCACCGCGTGACTCAGACCCTCCCGCTTCGGGCCATCCTTGGTCGCGCGGTCGGAGCGGAGCACACGGCATGGGCAGCGCGACCCGACCGGCTTAGGCTTTCGGAGCATCAGCTCAATGTACACTGGCGCCCACCCATCTCTCGCTCTCGGTAGCTTCTGCCACATCTCTCGGCTTGATGGCCCCCCTGAGGCGCGCGTTCTGCTCTAGCCTCTACGTATGGGGGCGCCCTCGGCAATCTCTTTCTCGCCTCTTCCCGGCGATCGCGGATGATGCACTTAGTTCTCGAGAGCAATTCTTCTGTTTCTCGGGCTGTGGTGTGTGTTGCCTGCTGTACATACGTGGCCCAGTGTAGCAGTCTCAATGACAATGTGTGTTCTGAACTCTCGATCTCTACGGGTGTGATATTTCCCTGTTCGTCTTGATGCATGATGGACTTGTCTTCTTGTGTATTTTTGTAGTATAGGTAAGATATAGGCGAAGATTGTGGGTTGAATCGCAGCAAACTCGCCCAGTGAGATCTGGTGTCGAGGGAATCCAGTTTCAGCATAGCAAAGTCATTGACCCCAGCGAGGCCCTATGCGCGCTGCGTCAGCGGGCCCAGGGGCCGCCTGGGCGATCGCACGAGCGCCCTCAGCCCCCCCCGAGCCCCCCGACAACCAAACGCACCCTTGCGTAGGCCTGCCGCAGTGCCACCCCGCCCGGAAGGCTTCCGGCGCCCTCCGCACAAGCCCAGCCGCCCTCTGCGAGCCGCCGAGGTCACCATCGTTTCCTTTGCTGCCCCGATCCGGCGATGCACAAGGTGATGTTATCACGTTCCCAGCTCACCTGCCTCTCTGCCGATCGTACACACACGCTGCACGAACGCTCAAGCCCCCATCCGCCTCTGCCGCCGCGCCGGAGTCCGGCGTCGGCAGCAGATCAGCAGCTCTCTCGCGCGCGAGGTTGCGCGCTCGCACTTGCGAGTCGGAGTGCGACACCCCGGCCCCTCGTGACTCTCGGTGTCCACACGAATCATCGGCTCGTAGGTCGAGATCCTCGTCGCGGCCCACTCCTTCCCGCGCCAGCGGTGGGGCGCCAAGCGTCAACGGCCCAGCCCCTGATCCGGCAATGTGCAAGGTGGCGATCTATTTATACTCAGCTCACGTACCTCAACACTAGCCCCTCAGCACGTACGGCGGCGGGTGTACAAACACAGCGGCCCCTCAACACGTATGGCCAGTGCCCCTAGCCGCTCCTGCCGCCGCTTCCGCCGCCGGCGCTGGCAGTGGAGCAGCAGCTCTCTCGCGAGTTTGCGAGCGACTCGCGTCCGATAGTCGGAGTGCGGCACCACCGTGCCCTCATGAATCGCAGTGTCCACCCGGACCATCAGCTCGTAGGTCGAGATCCTCGTGCGAGCGGCCCAGTCCTTCCCGCCCCAGCGGCACTCGTGCTTATTGGCAAGCTTGTCCTTCGCAAAGGAGTCGAACATCAGCTGTGAGGGGCAGGTCGCGTACTGCCTCCGCCTCTCGAGCTCCTCCTGCCGCAGTGCCTCGTCCGCCTTCTCCTCCATCTTGAAGTTCCCCGCGCCGGCGTTCATCTGGATGCGTCGCACTTTGTCGCCCATCATCCCGACCGTGCCCTCGACTGGATCCTGGTTGATCCACTCGAGGCAGCCGTAGCGGCGAAAGAGGACGGGTAGCGAGGCCCACATGTGCCAGCCGTACCCCTTGAAGCGCTGCTGGTGGAGGCACGTCCAACGGTCGGCCCACTTCCGCGACGCGTGCTCAAAGTCGGCCGCCGCCTTCTCAGGCCCGCCTCCCTTCGCGCAGCCGCCGCAGTAATCCAGCACGTCCGTCGCCTTCAGGCGCATGATTGTGCAGGCCTTGCTGAAGTAGAGCACCGTGTCAGCGAGCTGCTGCAAGCCGGCCAGCGAATCAGCACGATCAAGCGCGCGATAGGCGAGGGCGAGGGCGGCAAAGAACTTGGAGCCGGAGTAGTCTCCCTCGACCAGCTGCGCCCAGTCCTTGTGCAGCGCCTCGCAGTCGGCACCTTTGAGCGCGGTGACAAAGCACTGCTTTGTCTCCGCGTTCTTCTGGATCTGATGCCGCAGCTTCAGACCCTTCAGCGCGGTGTTGAACGCGTCGATGGCGGGGAGCGTGGAGGCGCTGCTACTATTGAGTGCCTCGCGCAGCGGGCCCTCGAGGAACTGCACCTTGGGCTCGGAGAGCCGCATGTCGGCGTGCAGATTGCACAGCCCCAGGTATCGCTGCGCGAGCACCGGGTCACCAGAGAGGATGTCGTCGCAGGTGCGCTCGCCGAACGCTGGCATGAACGGCAGCAAGATGATCGAGCCTCGAGCGAGTGGCTGATCGAGGGCGTCATCGAGCAAGCCATCCAGAGCCCGTCCCGACTTGAACATGTCATGTAGGTCAAAGTCGCAATCGCGCAGACGCTGCTCCTTCCACTGCGAGTGGTCGTCCGGGACGCCGAGGTACTCGAACGTGGCCTTGGCGCCCCGCGGGACAGTGACGCGCTTCGTCTTGAGCCCGGGCTCGGTGGGCACCTTGGGGGGGGGGGGGGGGTTGGTGTTTGGTGTCGCTAAGGTGTCGCTAAGTGGGAGTGCGGGGAAAGAAGAAATCAAACGTCCCGGGGCGCGGCGGGCACCTGCGCTCCGCGCTTGGTGTTCGCACCCGAGGCGCGCCGCATGTTTGGCCTCGCGCCGCCGCCGCTGCCGCCGCCGTCCGAGGAGCGCAGCTCGAGCACCGGCGTCTGCACGTTGTTCGACATGTCGCGGCTCGGATCGTTCATGCCGACGGCGATCTCGGCAAGCTCCGGGTTGTTTGGCCAAAACGTGCTGCAGATCTCTCTGAGCGTGCTGTCGTTGGGCACGACGTACACGCACGCGAGCTTGCTCTGGTCGCGGTGCAGCACGTCGTGGAAGGGCGACGTCGGCTTGTCCGCGACCCAGGACAGCTGCAGGTGCTCCATCGTGGCCGAGAGGTCGGCGTTGACGAGGCCGTTTGCCGTCATAGGCGTGTTGGAGACGGCGCGGTGGTTGACGTAGGGGTCACCTCCCTCGACGTAGGGGTCCGGCAGCATCTCAACCACATTGAGGTTCTCGTCGATCACCTCGCGCGGCAGCTGCAGGTAGAGCCACGGCACCATCAAGCCGCCAGGCTGGCGCAAAGGCTCGAGCTCCTTGACGTAGGGCACAAAGCCGCGGAGTTGCTGCGGCGCGGGCGGAGGCAGTCAAACGGTGCGGGATGGGCGTGGGAGAGGGAGGGGGGGGGGGGGGGGGGGCTCACGTTGGCGCGGTGGTCGTCGTCGGGCCAGAAGGCGATGTGAGCAGCCATTGGCGCGCCCTCGCAGCCTTCCATCCGGTGGCGCAGAGCCCTTGCCCCCCACTCGCTTCCGTGCACCGCCCACGCCTTGAGGCAGGCCATGACGACGGTCCACTGCTTGCAATCCACCGGTGCGTGCTTCAGGCGGCCTGCGTCGAGGCTGAGCGTGAACCCGAAGTTCGTCGCGTTGCTAGACAAGCCGGTCGGCATGTTCCAGAGTGAGCGGCCAAGCAGCATGAAGCAGAGGTAGCCCGCAAGGGTCTCGGCGCAGTACATCGAGCTGAGGAGGTCGGCGCGCGTCTTGACGACCGGGCGCGGCACTGTCTCCTCCTCCTCCTCCTCCCTCCCCTCCTCCTCCTCCTCCTCCTCCTCCTCCTCCTCAACCTCGGGTCCCTCCTCCTCCACCAGCCCCTCCGCCTCCTCGCACTCCGCCGCCACGCGTGCGGCGATCTCCTCGGCCACCTGCTGGATCCGCGGCGCCATCTCAGCCGCGCGCGCCTCCCGCCGCAGGAACGCGTTCTGCACCTCGATGGACGCGCGCGCCTCCCGCGCGACGGTGGCCTCCGCGCGCTCCATCGCCTCCCTGGCGGCCCGCTGCTGCGCGGCGGCGACGTCCTCATCGTCGCCGACCGTCGTCGGCACCTCGGGAGTCGGCCCGCAGCGCACGTACATCTTGAAGTGCGCTAGCTGCTCCGCGCCCGCGCGCCTCAGCTGGTCTTTCCCCGCTTGCTGCCCGTTGGAGTACTTTGAGCAGAGGTCCCACCGCTTTTGCCCCACCACCAGAGCATCGGCAACCTGCGCGCCCGTCGAGTAGACCTTAGTCTTGCGCGCCTCCTTGTCCCACTCTCGCTTGATTGCGGGTTTGCTCTGGATCAGGTGGATCACGCGCTTGGTCGTGAGCCGCTGCGACATCAGCGCGCCCGAGCCAGGAAGGCCTCTGCGCAAGAGCTCGGCAAGGAGGTTCTCGAAGCCGACGTGGCCGTGCCCGTCAGCATCCACGCGCGCAGCGGCAGCTCTGAAGAAGGCGAGGCACTGCGCAAAGTCACGCTGCGCTTTGCGCCGCTCGGCTCGGCTCGAATGGCGCGACGGCGGTTGCCACGGCGTCTTCCGCTTCTGCGACGCGCTCCCCACGCGCTCGCCACGCGCATCAGCCAGCTCGACGCGAAGGCGCCAGATCTCGTCGCGAGCCGCGTCGAGCCACGCCTTGAGCACATGGTTAGGCGTCGCGTCGTCGTTCAGAATCAGCCGCGGCAGTGCGGCCACGTCGAATTGGCCGCGGTCTTTGATCGAGGCCTTCATCTCCTCGACGAGAGCCACGTACTCTGCATCGTTGGCGTCGCCGTAGGTGAACCCACAAGGGCCGCTGCCGCCGCCGCTGCTGTCGGCCTCCCCCCCGCCAGTGTCGGCGGCGGCATCGCCTGTTCTCGTGCGCTTGTCCGGCCGCGGTTTCTGACCGCGGACGTCCTGCTCGACGGCGAAGTAGACGGCGCGGCGGAACATCTCCTCGCTCAGCTGCGTCTGCACTTTGCGCCCAAGTCCCAGGGCTATCATCGCCTCCATCGCGGCGCGCGCGCGCGCGGGCAGCTCCGCCTGCGGTGTACATGTCCCGGCGTGACGCGATGTCTACACGGCTGGTGGGGAGTGTGTGCGGGGTCTGTTCACACCGGGTCCATTCGGCCAGGATCGTGTTTGGGATCGCGCCGGATGCCGGAGTGCCGTCGAAGCTGTGGAGAGTAGTGGCCCTTCTTGCCGAGCTTGTACTCTTGCAGCGACTCGCCAAAGCATGCCTCCGACGGCAGGTAGTTCGGGTTGCAGCTCGGCTTGGCCTTCACAGCCGCCCGCTCGAGTTCATTCACAGCGAGCCGGCAGGCCGCCAACTCAGCCTCAGCTTTCGCTCGGGCTGTCTCGGCTGCGTCCGCGCGCTCCTCGGCCGCTCGAATGCGCCCATCGGCGGCAGCTTCCGCCGCCGCCCTCGCACGCGCCTCCGCCACAGCGATGCGCTGAGCGACTGATGCCTCCGCCGCCGCCGCTGCTGCTGCCGCCTCCGCAGCCGCTGGCATCACTCCAGCCGCCGGCGCCGCTCCCTGAGCGGTCGCAGATGGCACCTGCGAGAGCGGGCTGCGCGCCGCCCCTCCGCTGTGCGCGGCCTTCCTCCCCGGCCGTGGCACCGGCGCCTCGACGCGGCAAACTGAGCTCTGCGGCGACCCAAAGTCGAGACGCGTCGCCGCGCCGTGGTCAACTTGCATCGGCGTGGCGGCCATCGCAGCAGCAGGCGAGGGGTAGGGCGTGCCCACGTAGTAGTACGCCTGCGTACCCAACCCATACCCCCACGGCGCCCTCGGATCCACTTGCATAGGTGAAGGTGAGTAAGCAGGGACTTGCCACATGGCTGCCCCTCACCTGTCCGGACCCTCCGTAGGCGGTCCTCCCGCCAACAGCGGCGCATATGTCGGGCGGCCGGTAGAGCTCCCGCAGCTCGGCGACTCGCCCGCCGCCGTGGCGACGCCCTCCTTCCCTCCCTCCCTCTCCCTCCCTCTCCCTCCCTCTCCCGTCTCTCCCCCTCCTGTGTCCTGTCGATGACTCTCTCTCTCTCTCCTGACCCGGTGACACGTGGTCACATGGCCACGTGACCTCTCCGCTGAGCGGAGGGTCATGACTCATGTCTCGCTTGTGCGTGCACCTCTCGGTGTGTGTACGCCCCTGTGTGCCGTGCGCGCGCTTGCGCTTGGCCGCCGGGCAGTCGGCTCCACTCATATGGAATTTTAAGGGCGGCTGATACACACGCACACCGACAGCTGACAGCTCGGGGCCGGCACAGGCTGCAGCAGGCGCGCAGTCGCCGAGTCCGACGGGGGGCCGCGGTGTGAGGCGGTCGCCCGTGCCGGGGCTCGTCCGTCGTGCCCGACCCAAAACAGCCACCTGGTCCACACACTACAACGAGAGCCAGATCCACACGACGAGAGCCGCCCCACGCCGTCGATGAAGAGGCTGTGCCGCCAGCTGCCGCCGCCCTCGCTGGCGGGTTGGACTCACGAAGCAGCGCCGCAACGCAAAGCCACCACACGGCGCAGCCCTCGCCCTCTGGCAGCGCCAGCAGCTCGAAGCCGCGCTCTTGCGCCCACAAGCGGATGGCGTCCTCCGCGAGCGAGGCGTGGAAGAGCAGCGAGACGGCCGCGACGCGAGCGATGTCGAGGGGGTCGCAGCGAGAGACGACGCGCACGAGGAGGTCCGTGGGGAGGTAGAGGAGGTGGGCGGGCGGCGGCGTGTCTGGCAAGGGAGTGGTGGTGGGCAAGGCGGACACAAGGGCGGACATCGCCCTGAAGCGCGGGCGAGGAAAAAGTAATCCTCCGCGGGGGCTTGTCAGATATGGTGTTGTATTAAAGCAAAATATAAACAATTCAGAAGCGGCTGCCCGGCATCGCTGAGGCATGCTCACGCAGCTGAGTGAGCCCGGGCGCGTGAGTCGACACAGGCACCCACCCAAGGGACAGCACATACTTCAGCTCACCCGCAAGCGCATCGAAAGAGGGAGGCGGGGGCACCGAGGCACCTCCGACCGGCACGGAGCCGCTAAATATAGCAGCTCCAACGCACAGCGTGAGCGTCTCGCGCGCCGGCTCGAACTCTACCCAGTGGGCAGAGTTGAATGGAGGCCCGCGGCGGGCCTTTGCGCCGAACTCGTCGCTCGCGCGCAGCTCCGCGAGCTCGGAGTCGCCCAGCGGGTAGATGGAGATTTCGGCGAAGCGGTGCTGCTCCTTGCTCGTGGAAGGCAGCTGGAGGGCGGAGAAGCCGAAGATGCGCGCAAAGTCCTCCAGGCTGCGGAAGAAGTAGCGATAGATCACTCGGTCTGCGTCGGACACGCCCTTGCCCGAGCGGAGGAAAGAGTCCGACCAGAAAGGTAGCACCATCGCATTCTGGACCGACCAGTTCTCCAGGAGAAGCCTACGAGCGAGGGAGGGTGGAGGGTGAGACGGAGGGGGGGGGTGGGGGGGGGAGGGGTGGGGGGTGGGGGGGGGGAATGAGGTTGTCAACTCACAACCGCCAGGGCCGCACCACAGGCGTCTTGCGGTATGCAGACTCTCCTTTGTGCTCCCTCTTGGATACGTAGTGACATGGCTGTTAGGCCCCTCGTGTTTTGTTGAATGGGAGGGGGGCCAGGTGTTTTTCTTTCTTGTGTTTTTCTAGTGTGGGGGGGGGGGCTCTCGGCGCCTCATCGGCGCGATCGCCTTCGCGGAGTTGAGGTACTTCAGCATGCTTTCCTGAGACATGCAAGAGGGGCCGGGGTGGGCTAGTTCATGTGTGTGGAAGGAAGGGCGGGATTCTAGGCAAGCGCGCCATGACGGAGAGCTGCACTTTTTGCCGCAATGCTTTGCGCTGCAGGGGGGGCAGGAGGAAGTTGACCTCGCCCGCTCGTGCCTCTTGCTGCGTCGGCTGGCGCGTCGCCTGCACGCCAGGGAAGAGGTGTGGCAGAGGTGAGGCTACAGCTGTGGGGGCGGGGTGGAGGCAGCGCGGGTCGTGTGATGGAGATTCCGGGACCCGAGCCCACTGTCGTGGGCGTCGGGGTCACGCCGGGTGAGGGGCACTCGAGGGTGGCTATAGGGGGAGAGGGGAGAGGGGAGAGGGCTGAGCGCACCACGAGGGTTCCATCCAAGAGTGCCAAGGTGAAGGAGGCGACAGACTCCTCGCCGCGAGCAAGCGCGATGTTGAAGACCAAAGCGGGAGCCGTGCAGACCCCCACCGCGCGAACCTGCGAGGGCTCAATCGTCACAGGAATGTCGGAGATGACGACCTCGCCGTTCTTGTGCAAGTACGGGCGCTCTGCGGCCGGCTTTTTGAGCATCGCCAGGCTGTCCGGGTCCGTGACGACAGCAGGGAGCTCCCCCGCCGTAAGGATGCGACGCGCCGAGATGGTGCCCTCCGGCGAGGCCGAGACGCCGTAGGCTATCGAGAGAACTCCGTCGCGCTCGTAGTACACGCACCGGACGAGGTGGTCGCACACCTCGAGCGACAGCTGCTCGCCTGCGTGGTGGGTGCACAAGGAGGGGGGGGGGGGGGATGCAGGTGGCGGCCTGGGGCGGGCGGGAGCATCAGCAAGACGCGGGGCCACAGTACGACGCACCTTGCAACACTGGCCCAGACGCGAGCGGGAGAGGCGGGAGGGTGGGAGCGCGGCTCCGATCGCTCGAGGCGGGAGACGGGACGATGGGTGCGGGCATGAGGTCGATCAGCTTCTTCACGCCGTTCGGCGTGTCGATGCGTTCGGGCAGGAGCGAGGCGAGGGGCGCGCCGCGCTGGTACTGCTTGAAGGAGACGGGCCGTGAGGGGCAGCCCTTCTCGAACTCGAACTCGAGGGTGCCGAGGATCTCGTACGTGCAGTCGGCAGCGCGCGGTCGCTCGCCCGCCGCGTCGGGCACCAAATCGTCAGCAGCGAGCGCGAGCATGCCCACCACGGGGAGCACCGACTCGAGGTCGGCCGCCGTTGCGTGGTTGGTCAGGACCACGCTACGCGGGTTGCGCCTCATGTACTCGATCACCGCGGCGGGCATGATGCTGGAGAGACAGACTGCGTGCCGTAGCCGGCCAGGCGGCACGTCCGTCTCCGAGGTGCCGTCTTCTGTGTACTTGACAGTGTAGCGCGGGCCGGCAGCGCGCCCGCCGGCCGCGCCGCCGCGCCGCCGCTTGGGTCGGTGCACCTCGCTGATGACGCCGGAGTGCCACCCGCCCGAGTAGCTCTTCCACCTGCTCTCCACAGGATCACCCACCTCATAGCCCTCGCTGCTGTCGCGTGCGTCTGGCCTCGCTAGCCCCAGGAGGTACGCCGTGAGGTGTCGGAACGAGTACGTGTAGACATACTCAGAGGTGTGCACGGTCTTGCTGTCGTTGGACGAGTCGCACTCGTAGAAGACGGACACGATGAGCGCCGGACACGTGCCAACCTCGCCTACGAGCAGGTCGACTGGTGTGTGGGCGCGGAACACACCGGCGGCAGGGCGCCATTGGCATTGCGCGCCTCCCATGTCATAGGACACCTCATGGTACTGCTCGGTGCCGAAGTAGATGTAGTCGAGGGAGGACCGGCGCACCACGGCGTAGTTCCCAACCTCGCTGACCAACCCGCGCGCCGGGCGCGCGGGCATCCGAAGCCCGCACGACGCCCTGCGGCTATGCCCAGACCGCTTTTCTCGGCTCCTCCGGCCGTGAAAACGCCGCCTTCTAGGTCATTCCGGGTCATGAATTCAGTAGGAGAAACCTCCTCGCAACCTCTTAACGTCAGAACCCAGCGCCGGGGGGAAAGTGTCGTTTGGGGCCACTGGGCGAGTTTGCTGCGCCGTTGAGATTGATAAAGAGATCAACATCTGTCCATGCGTGGTGCTTGGTGCTCGTCTGCAGGGCGGGGTGGGGCACGTGAGACCACGACAGAAGTGAGCTGCTCAGAAAAACTGTTGCGCGTTTCTATCTTGGCCCTGCCCCCGCTCTGGGAGCTCTCTCTCCCACACCCGCCTCATTGGCTGTCCATGCTATCGCCGCCCTCGGCGCCGCCGGCCCCCTCCTCCTCCGCCCCTGCCTCGTCGCTGCTCTCCGGCTCACACTCAACCTCCACCTTCGCCTATACACCAAACCAGCCAGCACCGTGAAGGCGCGCCCCCGAAGTCCGACGCCCTCCACCGGGCTGGCGCCCACCATCACAGCGGAGGGAGAAGCGTGCTCGCCGTTCTCGGCGGCGAGCGGCTCCGCCTTCGCCGCGTGTGCGGCGGGCGCAGCCTCGGCCGGCTCGCTGTCGCGGCTGGCGTCGGCGGCGGGCAAAGCGCCAGTGGCGTGCTTGATCGGCTGGTAGACGGGCTGGTGCGGCCGGCCAGCCTTGTCGAGCTTGACGCAGCCGTCGGCCTGCGTCTCGAAGGTCCAGCCGCCGCTCCCGCCGCCGGCGCGCCCCTCCCAGACCCACGCCGGCCGGAGCCGCACCGGCGGCGCGCTCGTCGTCAGCCCCGCGAAGCGCGCCGGGTCGATCGCGGACTCGACGCCCAAGCCTCGCTTGGGGGGCGGCGGCGGCGGCGGCGCGCTCGACGCGGCGGCAGCCGGCGGGGGAGGCGGACGCGAGGTGAGCACGACCGGCCACCAGCCACCTTCGAAGAGGAGCTCGAGCTTGTCGCCCGGAGAGAGGCGCGCGTGGAAGCCGTCGGGCGGCGGCGGCGGCGGCGGGCGCAGCTCGTCCTCGGCCGCCGGCTGGACCCACTCCTTGAGCGTCTCGTCCGCGTGCGCGGAGGCGTGCAGGCACGAGTAGCGCACGCGGTAGAGGCCTGCGACGCGACT